AATATTCAAAGTGATGAATGTCAAGAACCTACAACCAAAATTACTTTATCCAGTAAAGCTATCATTCAGAATTGAAGGTCAGATAAAGAGCTTCACAGATAAGGAAAAGCTAAAGGAGTTCATCACCACTAAACCAGTATTATATGAAATGCTGAAAGGTATCCTTTAAGAAGAAGAAGAAAAAGGTAAAGATACAAATTATGAACAACAAATACACATCTATCAACAAGTGAACCTGAAAATCAAGTGAATAATCTGATGAACAGAATGAACTGGTGATTATAATAGAATCAGGGGCATAGAAAGGGAGTGGACTGGCTATTGTTGGTGAGGGGGATGCGGGAAGAGACTGGACAAAAATCGTGCACCTATGAATGAGGACAGTGGGTGGGGAGTGAGCGAGGAGGGTGGGGTGGGAACTGGGTGGAGGGGAGTTATGGGGGGAAAAAGAAGAACAAATGTAATAATCTGAACAATAAAGATTTAATAAAAAAAAACAGCATGAATTTATGTATAGAGGCTTTTTTTAAATGAAAAATTTAAACCTGTAAAATTATAATAATAAAAGGGCAATATGCTAATTAGAGCGGACATCCTTCTGGACAAAGCCAGAGCTGTGAGGGAAGCACAGGTCCCGGGTGCCAGCGGGAAGCCGGTGCCGGCAGCCAGGGGAAGGAAGGCCTACTCTTGCACAAATTTTGTGCATTGGGCCTCTAGTATAGAATCTATATATATAAAAGAGTAATATGCAAATCTACCAAACAGCAGAACGACCAGAACAACCACTCGGCCAGTAGCTATGAGGCACACTGAGCACCTCTTGGTCCCTCCCCCGGGCTGGCAGGCTCCGATCGCCCGATGGTGAACAGGGAACCTGGAGTGGGTAGCAGCAAGAGGCGGGGCTGGCTGCCGGCAACGGAGGAAGATGGCCCTGATCACAGGCCAGCGCACAAATTTCAGGCGCCGAGCCTCTAGTAAAATCATAAACCTACATGTACTCATCCTGAGCTTCAATAATTATCAACTCATGGCCAATCTTGTTTTATAATTTGCATGTCTTATTACACAAAAATCCTAAAGAAGCATTTTCATATGCTTCTACATTCTTCACTGACTCCATCTCAGATAAATCTATACTGCCAAACTACTCTCAAAAAGGTTGCTTTTCCTGCCCTAGCCAGTGTGCTCAATGGTTAGAACATTGGCCCACAGATTGAAGGATGGGCCAATCTGTTTTGGGATGCATGTGGGAGACAACCAATCAATATGTGTCTCTCATATCAATGTTTTTCTCTCTGTGTGTCTCCCTCCCTCCTTTTCACTCTCTAAAAAAACCAATGGTGAAGATTAACCAAAAGAAAAAAGCTGCCTTTACTAAAGGCCATAAAACAAATAAGGTGGGAGTCTATTTTTAAACAAAACAATCAACTCTTGATTACTTGCAAAAACCAAGGGAACAGTAACAAAGATATTGCAAAATGATAGATAATCCAAAACTCAGTTTACATGTAATTTTGAAATACCTTTTCCATACTTATATTTCAGTAAGAATAAATAAAATGGGAGAATTCATGTCAAACAAAGTAAATCATCACAGGTGCAATATCTTGGACAAATCACTTGGTCTCCTGAGCCTAAGTTTCCTCATCTATAAAACAGAAAAAGATCACCTACCTCAGGGACTTGTAAGAACTGAGTGAGTCTACAGTAAGTCCTTACGTAACACTGTACACAGGTTCTACACCTTTGAGCTAAATGATGTACACCAAACCTATTGTACCATAGGCTAACGGGTACAAATGAGAGCTAAGTTCCTATGGCATGGCAGGTTATACCAAAACGACACTGAGTACAAGGACGTTACCTGAGGACCTGGGATACACTGCATGCCACACGGTAGTTCCCTTGGGGATTACCCAGATGACAGAAAGAGCCACAAAGCAGGCTGGTTTCCTCACACCACCTTCTCAACATGATTCAAGAACTTTTATCCCAAAGCATGCTAAACCTGAGGGGCTAAGCATTACGGTTTCAAGGAACTTTGTGAAACAAATAAAGCGAGCTGAGACTGAAGAAAGTATTTTAGTAGGGCAATTCTTGTAAACTGCCAAACTTCACAAAATAACCCCCTAACTACTGGAGCCGTCCAGCATCACACAGAGGTAGCTTGTGGCCAACCCACCCAGTAAAACATTCTCATTTTCCCCATTTCTTTGATTACTCTCTCAATCACCCACGCCTCTGCCCAGCAGTGAACACAGGAGGGCAGCCACACCACCGTCAGCGTGCCCAGTGCTAAGGAGCTCAGAATGACTTACCAGTTCTTTCTCTGTCCACAAGAAAGCTCGAACTATAGGCACCCTGTCCTTGGAGCACGCCTGGACCCCTTTTCTTGGGCCTGTATCTCTGCTCTCTTTCTCCTAAACTCTAAGGGTCCCCACAAGACTTGCAGCCAGGGGAGTAGTGGGCAGTGGCAGCTCCTCCCGGGCTAACCCCGAACCAGCCTCCAAGCCTCGCTTGCTCTGACTTTTCAGTGAGCCAACAGCAGCCCTGCCTTGGCCCACTCTGGCACTGTGACGTTTCCATCTCGGGGAGTCCACCCAGCCCCGCAGGGCTCGCTTCCCTCCTATAACATTTCTAGACGGTCAAAGCAGCACCACCTAGGCCAGTGATGGCGAACCTATGACACGCGTGTCAGAGGTGACACGCGAACTCATTTTTTGGTTGATTTTTCTTTGTTAAACGGCATTTAAATATATAAAATAAATATCAAAAATATAAGTCTTTGTTTTACTATGGTTGCAAATATCAAAAAATTTCTATATGTGACACAGCACCAGAGTTAAGTTAGGGTTTTTCAAAATGCTGACACGCCGAGCTCAAAAGGTTCACCATCACTGACCTAGGCTCTCTCCTGTTGCTTCTCCTATCCTAAGCCCTTCCTTTGTGTCACTGTCCCCAGCTTTTTAATAAACAAACATACTCTTAAAATATAAAAAAAGCTGGAATTGTAATCTTGTGTTCCATATCACCTGAGAGGCAGTTCACTATTGCTCACAACTATCAAATTAATTTACACACTTTTAAAAAACATGTTTTTATTGATTTCAGAGAGGAAGGGAGAGGGAGAGACAGAAACATCAATGATGTGAGAGAATCATGGATGTGCTGCCTCCGGCATCAAGCCCACAAACAGGGCATATGCCAGGACTGGGGATCGAACCTTGACCTCCTGGTTTATAGGTGGACGCTCAACCACTAAGCCATGCCAGCAGGACTTATTTTACACGTTTTTTTAAAAATACATATGCAGTCACAACTGTTCACCAAGATTTTAATTCTACTTTTAGGATTACTTTCTTCCAATCTCTCAGCTATCTTCTTGAGATTTGTATACACATTGCTGAAGTTCCCTTCAATCACCAATCCTCTTTCCCTGTGTGAAGACAGGAGTTCTTAACTTATCACTAACCCCCCCCTCCCCCAAATCATCCACTCAATGAAAACCTTCTACCCCAAACCATTCTTTTTTTAATATAATTTTATTAATTTCAGAGATGAAGGGAGAGGGAGAAGGAGAGAGAGAAACATCCATGATGAAAGAGAATCATGGATGGGCTGCCTCCTGCACGCCCCCTACTGGGGATCGAGCCCACAACCTGGGCATGTGACCTCCTGGTTCCTAGGTCGACGCTCAACCACGGAGCTTCGCCAGGCGGGCTCAAACCATTCTTCGTTTTCAGATAGGGCCCATTTCTCTGCTGTTTCCCTAAGATAATTATAATGTAATAAAATACAGCACTGAACAGTCTGTGTGTGCTTTGTATTCATTTAATCCTTAAGCCTATGATAAAGGGAATTCCCTATTTTATCCATAATGAAAAAGAAACGGGGAACTTTAGTTGTAAAGCAAGGGAGTGGTGAGCAGACCTCCAGCCCAAGTCTTCCCGGCCCCCGCGCCAGGCACTCGGACCCACGATGCTCTTCCCGAAGGAAGCGGGCCTGCGGGTCCCACACCACATCTGCTTCCGAGCCACACCTGCCGACCAGCTCTCAGGCTGCAACCCCATCCACAGCCCTGTCACCCCTCCTCCTGCGGCCTCGCCTCCAGCGATCACCGGCAACGCGCACTCCTCTCGGATCCTCCCCCCGCCATCCCCAGCCCGGAGCACGGGCCGCCGCCGCACAGCCGGGCCTCCCGCTCCCGAACCTCGGCGCGCTGCCGGGGCAGGTCGCTCCGCTCCGAGGCCACCGACGCCTCCGTCCCCGCCAGCTGCTCAGGAACTTCAAAGCCCCATAAAGACTCGCAGCGCCTCCATCTCCGCCCCGACCGGGAGCAGGCCGCTCCGAGTTCTGAAGAGCAGCCCGCGGGGAGGCCCCCGTCGCCGACTTCCTTCCCAGAAGTTGGCTCTGCCAGGGGCTCCCTCCGCGGTTCTCCTCGCCGCGCACCGGGCCGCTCCGCCCCCCGACCCCCTCACCCGGCCCAGCCTCAGCAGCAGCCCCGGGGGGGCGGCTCCGCGCCCACAACTTCCAAGTTCGGCCCCTGATCGCCTGTCCTCACCCAGCCCGGGGCCACCTCCGGCCCGGCCCGGCCCGGCCCGCTCCACCCGCCGCTGCTCCGGCCCAGGAGCCGTGCCCTCCAGCTGGTTCCGGGCGCCCGCGGGCTCCCCACCCCGGGGGGCAGGCGTCCCACCCCGGGGGGCAGGCTCCCCACCCCTGGGGGCAGGCGCCCCTTCTCCATCACCTGCTCCGCCCGGGACCAGAAGACTCCGCCGCGCCCCCGCCGCCGCCTCCATCCCCCTTCTCGGACTCCGGGTCCCGGCCGGCCCGCCCTCCCCGGGCACGACCCACCCCCTCCGGTGGGAACAAGGGGGGCGTGCACCCCAACACGCACCTGTTCCTCCTCCTCTCCCCGCCCCCCCCCTCCGCCGGCCGCGCCGGCGCCCCGACCCACCACCCCCCCGCCGGCCGCGCCCGGCCTCCCCGGACCCCGCACTCACCACGAGTAGGTCTGCTCCGCCATGGCGCTGGCTCCCGGGGCTCCGCTGCAGGCTGCGGCCGGGCCGGCGGCGGGGGACGAACGGGCGGCGGGCTCGCTCGGGCCGCGAGCGGAAGGCGCGGCCCGGCGCTGGCTCCCCGCTCGCACGGCGGGCGGCGGGCCGGGAAGGCGGCGGGCGCGGAGGCCGGGCTCCGAGGCGCCCGCTCCCTGGGCCCGGGGCGGGGCGGGCTCCGCTCTCGGGGGGCCTCCCTCACCGGCGGCGGCGGCGGCGGCTCCGCTGCGGCTCTAAACTCAACATGGCGGCGGCGGCGCTGAGAACAAGGGCCCGGGCGGGCGGACCAGTGGGCCCGCGCTCACTGCGCGCTGGGCCGCGGGAGCGCCGTGCTCGGGCGGCGGCGGCGGCGGCCGGGGGACATGGCGGGCGCGGAGGCGGCGGCGGCGGCGGCGGCGGCGGGGGCGCCGGGCGGTGAGGCGAGGCCGCTCGGCTCGCACCGCGGAGGAGAGGAGAGGAGAGGAGAGGAGGGCGGGGGCCAGCCTGGCTCCGCGTGGGTCACGTGCCCAAAACACGCTCACGTGACGCGCGCGCCCCGCCCCTCGCGCCGGGCCCCTGCGCGAAGACGTCGGTTCCTCGGTTCCAGGCGACTGTTGCTCGCACGGCTCCGGGAGGTGGGGCGGCCTCTCCACGCGGAGCCGTCGCCTCCGGCCCTCCCTCCCCTCCCCTTCCTTCCCGAGGGGCTGCCGCAGCCAGCCAATCAGGAGCCCCGATGCGCGTCGGTCGGCTGCCACTCAGCTGTCAGCTGTCAATCAACAACCTGCGAGCGGCGGGTCCTCAACTGTCAGTCAAGCTGTCAGTCCGCAGGCAAAGCGCCGCAGCCCGCATCCCGTATTTCGTCTGTTCCTTGGTCCCATTCATGCGTTTAGCAAATGTTCTAAGCAACCAACCTTTATTGCGGCCGGGTTCTGCGCCACATCGTCTAGGGGCCAACTTGAATACCCCATACTTGCCTTCGTGTAATCCATCAACAGATATGTATTGAGAGCCAACTATCAACTCATTCGGCTAGATCTCTGCCCTCTGAACGCTTACGTTCTGGAGGAAAAGACACGGACAGTCTAAGCTGACAAACAAAACTAGTGAAGATCGTTTCAGATGCTGCTAAGTTTTATGAAGATGATAAGAACGGGTAATAGGACAGAGGATGTGTCGGGGTGAGGGCTACTTTTGATCGGTTGGTCAAGAAAGGCCTCTCGCTGCGGAGGTGACATTTGAGCTGTCACCCGAAGAATGAGCTAGACCTCAGACCAGCAGAGTGAATCTGGAGCTTAGGGGGAGAGGAGGGAGGGATGAATTGCACCCCAGGGCATTGGGGAGTGAGTGGTTCTCCAGGAATGGATGAGGCCAAGGCTTGCCGGGAGAGAAGGCATTCTAGGAAGAGAATGAATGAAAATGATCAGTGCAGCTCCAGGTTTCAGAAGTACACTTGGCAACAGACACGCTAGCCCCCTAGACCTCAGGCTCCAGGGGGAGCGGAGCCCCACGCCTGAAAGCAGCATGCCCCGCTCCTCTGCAGCTCGCCCCATGTCACGCCAGCACCCAGCTCTGCTCCACGTTCCCGGGGCCTGCCCAGCTCCCGGGGAGCACCACACCCTGAATCTATCTCCAAATGGATCAGCTGGCCATTGCCCATACAGCTGCTGCTTGCCGGTTCCCCTAGGGGAGCCCTTTGATGAGAGAGCCAAGCACACTTTTCCTTCAGAAGCAACCTCTCCTTCCTCCTTCCCCCACTGCCAGGTGCCAGGGCCAGTCAGGTTCTCCATTTTCCTGCAGCTCCACCGGAGAGCCCTGGGAGGCACCAGCTGATACAATCAAGGTCCCGGAGAGGGTTGAAGTAGGGCCCCCCAAATCGCCAAAGCACCAGAGACCTTCCTCTGACCATTAACAGGAAGACACCAGCCTGCAAATATCTGCCCAGCACACACGGCACTGGGTGTGGGGCTGTCGTGAGGAAGCGGGAAGGCAAGGAGCTTACATTCTTTTTCTTAATGCTAACACTTTTTAAAATTGATTTTAGAGAGAGAGGGAGGGAGGGAGGGCAAGAGAGAGAGAGACACTAACCTGTTGTTCCACCTATTTATGTATTTATTGGTGGATTCTTCTCTATACCCTGACCGGGGATCAAACCTGCACCCTTGGCGTATTGGATGATGCTCCTACCCGGCCAGTGCAAGGAGCCTACATTTTTGACATTAACTTAGTTCTTACAACTTTGCCAGGTGCTCTTACAGAATCCCAGCTGTACCTTGAACATGAGACACAGTCATTCTGAGTCTCAAAGGGGCCTGAGTAAGGCTTCCGGCCCCATGGGAAAAGCCATAAGCCATTGGCACCCGTGGCTTGGGAGATGCTGAAGCGAGTCTCTGAAGAGCTAAGAACAAACATCAGACAGGGCGCTAATGAAACCAAAAGGCACACTGAGCCCCTGGGCGATTCACCTGGGCCTCACTTCCCAGTGGGTCACGGAAGGCAAACCAAGTGAGAAGCTGGTATTAGGTGATGGAACGGGAGATGCCGAGGGAAGTCGAGGCCCTCCCAGGAGCAAAGGAGCCACTCTTTGCACTGAAAAAACCAGCTGGTGAAAGAAGGAGGGAGAAGCGTCTGGGAGAAGGGATGGAGTCAGAAATGAGAAGAAAGGGTTTCTTCTCTTCATCTGAACCATAGGCTCTCCAAGCGTCTCTTGGGAAAACATGTGAGTACCGACCCTAGAAGAAGCCCGACAGCCTTTGTCAGGGCTGGGGAGTGTCCAGCCATGGAAATCCTGTGTCCATGGTCCCAGGAAGACGAGTGTGCGCCCAAAGCCTGGTGGCTCGCGCCTCTCAGCTAAGGTTGCCCACGTGTAGAGGCACCTCCAGGTCCCAGTCAGGGTCTCTGCCGGCCTCTGAAGTCCTCCAAAGGCCGGGCTGAAACCGATCTGAAGCCTGAGGGTTGCCTGGAGGCTGCCAACAGGGGCACTCAGGGAGTGACTCTCAGGTCCTCTGCCAGCAGCACTGGCTCCAAGCCGCAGCGGTCCCCAGGCGTATCCATGGCACCGCTGGGCCTCAGCCTGGCGTCAGGTGTGCTTGGCAGGCGATGAGGGCATTGGCTCCCCCAGCCCCACAGGTGAGAGGGCCGCAGCTTGTGCAATGTTTGTTGAAAGAGGCCATGGAAGTTCCTCTAATTATCACCAAGATAATTATAGGATCTCGCCTTCTACCAAGTGTGTACAAGAGACTTGGTGCGTCTCCCCACGTCATCTGCCTTAGGCACAGACTCGGGGGAGCAGGCATTGCCAGATCTGGCCCAGCTGCCTAGACACTGCTCCTGAGGGTCAAAGGCTCAGGTGTGACAGGTCCTCGCCTGTCCCTCCTTCTCTCACCTCTATCCTCCACTCCCCCCCTCCACACACACACACACACGCATTCCATGGTGAACTGCTCACAGCTTCCCAATGGACTCATGTTCTTGTTTTTGCTTCCAGACCTTGACCAAGCCCAGAAGGCATTCCATTGCCTTTAACTGCTGCTCATAATTTTGAGGCCTGGCCTCTAGGAAGTCTCCCTTGACCAAACCGAGCACTCCTCCCCTTACTCCCACGGACCCCTGCGCTTACCTCTACAGTGACACTGAGCACAGTGAACTGGCACTACCTGTTTACTTGTCATTCCCTCCCACTGGATTGTGAATGCCTCGGGGGAAGGGATGTGACTTGTTGCCAATTACGTCTTCAGTGCCCAGTGCAGAACTTCGTGCAGAGCAGAAGCTCAAAGATTGTAGAATGAATGCTTGAGTGAGTGAGAAGGCCAGCCAGGCTCCAGAACAACTGGTCTCGCCTGATATTCCCATGATTACCTCCCTCATCTCATATCCAGCTTCCTCTCCCATCCCCTTGCAACTCCCTGCCCGATTGAGAAAGAGAAAATCCTTAAGGGCAGAGACATCTCCACATTATGGGAAGACAGAATATTGGAAGTCAGGTATATGGCAAGCTTTCTGTCCTTAATTTTAATTTATAGATGAGAGAGAGAGAGAGAGAGAGAGAGAGAGAGAGAAAGAAAGAGAGAATCATGGATTTGTTGTTCCACTCATGCATTCATTGGTTGATTGTTATATGTGCCCTGACAGGGGATCGAACCCGCAACCTTGGCGTTTTAGGACGAAGCTCTAACCAACTGAACTGCTGGGCCAGGACATATGCTGAGCATAGTACTCATCAGGTCACTTATAGTCTTTGATCCTGGGTTTTTTAAAAATATACTTTATTTTTATATACCGAGAAAATTGATGGGAAAGTACAAATTCCCACATACTTCCTCTCCCACAACACACAGTTTACCTTATTACTGACATCTCGTATTCCTGTGGTACATTTGTTATAATTGATGAGCCAATGATGGCACGTTATTATTAAAAAACCCATAGTGCACATTAGATTTTACTTTGTGTCATACAGGCCTGTGAGTTTTGACAAACGTATAATGACACGTACCCACCATTACAGTGCCATACAGAATAGTGTCAGTGCTCTAAACATCCCCTGGGCTCCACCTGCTCATCCCTCTCTCCCCCAGCTCCTGGTAATCATTGATCTTTGCACTGTCTCCACAGTTTTGCCTTTTCCAGAATGTCACACACCGTGGTTGAAATCCTATACCGTGTGTAGCCTTTTCAGGTTGGCTTTTTTCACTTAGCGATATGCTTCTAGGGTTTCTCATTGTCTTTTCACGGCTTGATAGCTTGTTTCTTTTTATCACTGATTAATATTCCCTTGTATGAATGTACCAGGAATTGTTTATCCATTCAGCTACCGAAGGACACTGTGGGTGCTTCCAAGGTTTAGCAAATATGAATAAAATGGCTATAAATATTTATGTGCAGATTTTTGTGTGGACACAAGTTTTCTTTTCTTTTAAAAAATATTTTTTATTGATTTTTAAAGGGAGAAGAAGAGAGATAGAGAAACATCGATGGGAGAGAGAAACATTGACCAGTTGCCTCTCACATGTGCCCTGACAGGGAATCGAACTAGCAACCTTTTGGTGCACAGTATGACGCTCAACCAACCAAGCCACTCTGGTTGGGCTGGACGTAAGTTTTCAACTTATTTAAGTATACCATGGGTTTTTTAGAAGTATTTTGTTCAATTTCCAACAATTTGGGGCTTTCCCAGATATCTTATTGTTATGACTTCTAATTTCATTCTTCTAAAATTTGTTCATTTGTTAAACATGTTTCGCCCAGCGACTATTCTACGTGTACTAGAAAAGAATTTGTATCCTATTATTTTAGGTTGTAATGGTCTATAAACAGCAATTAAGTCAAGGGTTTGCCGTGTGCAGATCTTTTGGTATCGATCACTGAGAGAGATATTAAAATTCCTAATTACGATTGTGCTTCTCCCTTGAATTCTCTCCGTTGTTGCTTCCTGTGCTAGACTTTGTCAGTGGCACGTTGGGTCCACCCTG